GTTAGGGCGATACGCTGGGACTGGACAATATGCAGCTTGCAAGTATGGAAGGTATGCTGCACCGGTTTCAAGGCCTCGCATGGCGGCCCCAAGCCGCACTAGTAGTATGCACATCGTGCGAGCTCAACTCGTAGGACACGCGAAACGATGGGCATCTGAAGACATACTTGTACATATAAAGGAGCTACGAGTACTAGGCAGCAGCGGTGCTTCGCGTTCGGCGCTGCTGTGTGTGTTTCGAGCAATGGCCCTTGAAGCGGGCAAACGCGTCACAGCCGGTGGTCTTGCAAAGGGTGCCGCCACCGTGCATGCGGCAGCGGCCGCGCGACTGCGCGGGCGTCAAGCAGCCATCGACGTCGCACGCGTTGACGCCGCCATGGCGCGAACACCGGCCGAGGCGCCGCGCATACGAGTAGCACCCGGGCTCTTTGCATGCGCGACTCACATGTGTGATCTTCTTGGTCAGGCGCGTCATATGGCTCGGTGGGCTGGTGGACGCTGGGGATCTCGCTCTGCTGTGAATGAGGCAGCACGTCCCGTCCTTGGCAAACCGCGTGCAGCAGTCGACGGCGCACAAGAGCAACATTTGCGTCAGCGCCAAAGGACAAATGATATCGAAGGCGCCGCGTACGCAGGCGTTGAAACTGCGGTGCTTGAAATAGGCGCCAATAACAACGGGTCTAGCCACGTGGTACGAAGCCTGTCTCGTCCCGCGATCGAAAGGTCCCTGGACAGGGAGAGCTGTGGGTACGCCCTTTACACGAGAGCTTTCACTGCGCTTGTTCTACGATGCTCTGCGATTCTGTCATTGCTCGCGTAGCCAAAACGTGGTCGCCGACGTCGATGCTTCTTCTGTGGGACGACGGAGCTGCTCTGGTCGCTGGGGTTTCAGGCGACCCTTCGTTGGCGACTCGATTGGCCTGCGATGTGCCACCCGCGTCAAGTGACGCCTGGCCGACCCTTTGACAAAGATGGAGACATACAAGAAATGTATTCTAGCTATAAAGTGGGGTAGCTCGGCTCCCGCGGTGTCGCGTGGCGAGAGCAGCAGCCTTGATAGCGAGCAAATGCATCGCACCCGACCGCTTTGCAGTGCTTGCCGCCTCCGTGGGCGCGGCAATGACCGCCAGTCTGCGCGGGGGTTTGGCACTCGTGGACTGCACACGGCTTGGCACCGCCGTGGCGCGAGCACCGACCTCGCCGCCGCGCGTACGACGTGCACCCGGGCGCTCGACACATGCGGCTGGGCTGGACTTGGTGGAGCATGTCCCAGGAAATGGTCTGCAAGAGAGAGGTTCAGTTGTGGAATGTGATAGAACAAAGGCGTACGATGCTCATGGGGCTAGACGCGACGTGCGTGCGTGCTTGGCGGCGAATGCTCTGCAGTCGCCCGTGGAGGAGGCAGAGCTGGTCGACCTTGGCGTAGCGCGTACAGCGCTCGATGGCACAGCGGCGTGGCATTGCAATTTCGAAATGCTCACGTGTGCTCAACGCCATTGGCCGTTGGGCATAAACTGCCGGCGCCGTGGGACGACGATTGCTCATCCGTGATAGATCGTTTCCGCCTCGACGTTCTGTGGCACGCGCCTGTGGGCAAGCAGCAGGATCGGGCGAGACCGTGGTGGAGATACCCTCTTGAAGAATACTGATCGCAAAACCGAGTTGCCATTACGCTTGGATGACGGGCCGTAATCGCGATGCTTTCTATTGGGTACAGCGATCATTTGGGGTCGATCTCATGACACGCATTGAGAGGTGGGACGTGCAGGGATCTATGGTATGTCTGCAATGTACGGTACGCGCAGGGAGTTGACTAATTTGCCGTCGGCCCACCTTGCGGCGCGGTCCATGAACCATTGCAGCTGGCCGCCAAGATCCATTTGACGCCATTTCATTGGTCAGTCAGTGAGCCAATCAAACGGTTTTGTGTCGGCTGCAAACTTCATGCGACGCATAAGGGGGCGGAAGAAAGCTTAGTAGAGTCCGCCTGTGCCAACGGCCAAGGTAGCGACCCGCGATCGCTTGCATTCTCGTTCAGGTTGTTGCAAGTGGGAACCAATAGCGATGGCACTCACAGATGGGTGGACTCGGCCGTCCTTCTAGTGCTGGATAGAAGAGGTGGTTGTACCAGACTTCAGCGTGCGACAACCAAGTGACGCAAGTATGTCGAGAAGCTACATGTCAATTGTAAGCATATTCAAAGGTCTCGGATACCGCATCACACTTTTTATGCTCCACCTCGTCATTTCAGCCGATACTCGTCGGCGTGTAAGAAGAAAAGGCTGTGTGACATCATCGCCGCCAGCTTTTGCTGGTTAAAGCACTTGGCTACAAGCATGCCAACACTGACAAGATCACTCCTTTCGTTTCGCTATCTCGGTCGAAGAATCGACGTTTCAAGCTGGGTGACAAAACGACTACGTTGAACAAACAATCAACTCGGCGCAGAAACTTCCGGCTCAGCGTCTTCTAGATATACGGCTGATCAGTGCGGCATGCGCATGGAACATTTGACTAGCTTTTGCGTTGTGGCGGAGATGCAGACTACCGTTGAGCCGTTCGACTCGAACGTAGGCGCTTCCGCGAGGTGTGCAGCACAACCTTGTGGACGAGCGAGGCCAGAGTAGATGTACATATTCGAGCCGAGCACAAGCGCGGCCAAAGCGCTGTGAAGCGCATTAACTACGTAGCAAAATGCGAGACAAAGGAAAATCTTGCGCGGCGAAACGAAGAATTGCACTGGGAAAATGAAACGATCGTGACATTGACGGTGCCAAGAAGAAATCACTCCACGCGCCAAAGACGCGCCCGGCGCGCTGGGCTGTGAGCAAGAAAATATACAAATGATTATTCTTCAAGTCCTGATGTCGTAGGGCACACGAAGCGTTCAGTGGGTGTGCTGTACGGGTCTCTGGAACGACCAGCATGCAACAAAGGGGATCCAAATGCCCTAGAGCGTGACGCCGGCGGAAAAACGGAATCGTCGCGACAGCAAAAATGAGTCCTGCAACGACGCTTGCCACTCGTGAGCCTCAAGAGGTGTCGAGTTCGAAAGACGGAGCTCGACGTGCAATTGCTACAGTGAGACTCTACAAGTAGTTTGTGGTGACCCGCGATTTCACCAATGCTGTTGCCCGTGTCCCACATAAAGACCTATTGGCAACACGTAAGTTGACGCATTTGGCCCGAAAGTGGAGGCGTACGCGAGCGAGGAGCGTACGGCCATCACCGACAGCGACGATGCGCTTGCTGTCCGGGTCCCATCTCAAGTCCTTGACTTCGCCAGCAAACACCGGCACCTCGACCTTGAGCGTGTGTTCCGGGTTGTCATACGACCTAATGAGCGTCACCGTTGTCAAGGCTTGTCATGCTGACCAAGATGTACCAGACGCGGACCTTGCCCGACATGTCGGCCGAGGCGACCCAGTAGCCATTGGGCGAGATCTTGGCAGCCGTCGTCGGGCTGTTGTGGCCTTGGTAGATAAGGCAGTTGGCAGGGTTTTCGAGGTCGCGGATCACGACAAGCTTCCCGGAGCAGTAGATGATCTTGGGCTCCTTCGGGTGCACGCCGAGGACGGTGGGGGCGCCACGCGTCGTGGTCGGTTGCGGGCAGTAGGTAGCCTAGAGTAAACTATATCAGATCGTATAGCTCCGACGGTGGCGACCTTGAGGTTGGCGTTCGGGAGACGCTCGGTCAGGTTCACGGTCGACGCCATTATACGGAGCTGACTGCAAGTTTGGATCTGCTGCTCTGCAGTGCAGCACCTTCGAAAATGTAGGACATGGTGTGCCACGACCCACTTCAAGTTCTATAGCCCGCTGCTTTTATAAAGCGTCATGTGAGCCGCAGCACTGAGAGGTCGACGCTGGTCCGCTGATCTCCAGTAGGCATACCGCCAGCCACCAACGGCAGCGGAACGGCTTGACGTTTCGTGGGAGTGTCGAGCAGTCTCAGCAGCTCGGATTACGCGATACATGGTTGAATCTGAAGCAGAGCGATCTCTGGGCGTCGACACGCAGCACCGCGCTGTGAGGACGAGCGCCCGCACATAGAACACGTTCAAGCGCGTACGACAAGAGACGTGTTTCATATAGCTTAACAGTCGAATGCACTAGTTAGCACGGCGGGAACGAACGGTCGTTGCTGTGTGGTCGTACACCGTTCGAGTGCACGCTACAGAGTCCTTGAAAGCGGGCAAACGAGGCGCAGCCATTGGCTTTGCAGAGCGTGCCGCCGCCGTGCGCGCGGCATCGGCCTCCTGTTTGCGCCGGCGTCGAGCAGCCGTCGACGCCGCAGAGCTTGGAGCCGCCGTGGCGTGAGCAGAGGCCGTACCGCCGCGCGCAGGAGGAGCACCCGTCGACTTTGCACTTGCGGTTCTTGCTGTTGGGCTTGGTCGACGGCAGCAGCGACCGTGGCTCGGCACGGCTGCTCGTCGAATTGGTCTCGTCCGACGAGTACCCGGCGTGGCAGCTCGCACTGGCATGCCGCAGCGCCGTAGCCTTTTGCACGATACACTGCATACGGTAGTGCAAGAGGCAGAGCCCGTGGACCTTGCCGAACTTGATGCAGCTGCCGAGTGCGCACAGTGCAGGCATACCCGACGTTTTGGCCACAAGGATTTATGTTGAATGACACAACGGTGTTCCGTGAAGGAGCTAAAAATACAAAATGGTTGATGTGACTGCTGCGAGCTCGAGTTATGTCAACCCAAAAAACGCCATCGACGTCGAATCCACCGCACTTTTCGCGGCATATCGCTGCATCAAAGGCAAGCTGTGGCGAGCCCGAAGATTACTTGGATCTCGCACCTCCAAGCCGTGCATACCTCCCAAGAAATCGAGCTTCAAAAGGGCAGAAGAACCTTGTACATGGCGTACGTGGCACAACCAGAGGCGCCGGCCGTTTCAGCGGGACGGATTTTTTGCCTCGTAAACGCAAAGAGCATGATTGCTCGATTGCTTTTGTCTGTCGCTTGACTGGAAATCAAACATACGGCATCTACCAAGTCGTGATTGCGGAAGGAACTACGAGCTAAACTACTAACTGTATAGTTTCGAGAGGCTATGTCGTCTGGTTGAGCGGCATGCAAGTGTCCCCATCCCTTTAAAAACAGCAAACCTTCAAGCCGGCAGTTGAGCGAACCTCACGCGATCCACAGGCAGAGCAACACGTGAATCATTGTATCGAAACCTCACGCGATCCGCGTGGGGGGGCTGACTGTGGCGTCGGTTGGTGGTGTAACTGCCGAGCATTAGAAAACATGCTAGGTATCGATGTAAATAGCGAGTATGCTCGATTCACGACTCACGATGCGCCGCCACTGTGTAACCGCGACGAGACCATGCGACTGATGCGACTTGGCGTATGCACCACCCAGCCTAGGCTCGCAGCTTGGTCGTTTGCTTGTCACGACAGTCAACCGCAGCCTGCGACCATGCGCTGACGCTCTGTACATGCAGCGAGAGCTTGCAGCGAGAGCCAGCAGGAGCTAAATACATACAAGATCTCCGCCCAGTTCTCCGTTGAGCAGCATGCTCGTAGCTCCAACACACCCGAGAGCGCATGGAATATACGTTATGCGTGTTACGAATCGCTCGCGACCGAGTTGAGAGGAGTGCGGTGGGACCGCGCGTGGGGTGCGCACCAGCCGCCTGTGCGTGCAAATGACGTGCAGCCGAGCTGCTTGCAGAGCGTGCCACCGCCGTGGAGCCGGCATTTGCCGGTGGTTTGCGCCGGCGTCGCGCACCCATGCACGCTGCATAGTCTGGCGCCGCCATGGCGAGAGCACTTGCCAAGCCGGCGCGCATGCGACGCGCAGCCGCGCTCGCTGCAGAGGCGGTGCGTCTTGGTGCATGTGGTCGGCGACGTGGCGGTCGATGCAACGAGCGAGAGGACGCGCGCGTGCACGAGGCAGAGAGCGTGGACCTTGGCAAACTTGGCGCAGTCGCTGATCGCGCACGGCGTCGGCATCGCACTACGCCGGTGAAATCAAAACTGGTGACAAATCCCAAGAAAAGCAACTCGGATGACGGGTCGCGTGGGACAACTGCCGTTTTGGCACTGCAGCCTCTGCAAGCCGTAGTGGACTGACGGCATCAACCGCATCTCTTCCTCCTCGCCGCGAGGTTGCCATGTTCCGGCCGCAGCCTTCTCCACGAGGATCTGGAAATGGCGTCCGTGCAGAGCGCGTAGCGCTGGCCACGCACGACCATGCCACGTATGAACACTGTGCGGGACACCGGCGACGGTTGAGGCGCCAATCACATGCCTGCAAGGTAACGTGGGCCCACGCGGCTGTTGCGCTGAGTTTACGCAGCGTGGTTGCAAAGACGCGGCCCATTTCGATCCGTCGATAGATACAACGTGCTGCATTAGCGCCCGTACAGTCGACGACGACGCTAGCTCCTAACTAGATGCGCGGCGTGGGCGCACTTACAAGCCGCCAAACTGGGCGGCGCGGAGGACCTCGAGGATGGCCGAGCCGACGACGAGGAAGAAGAGCACGCCGAGCACGACAGGGCCGACCTTGTAGCCTTCTTCGCGCACGACCTACAGACGCGTCATGAGCCTCGGCGCGCGCTGTGTCGCATGCGCGTACCCGCGTCGACGTGGGCACGTTGCCACGCTTGGTGATGTTGCTCGAGTGCTTCTCGTTGCGGAGGCGAAGCTTGGCGGGCGCGGACGACATGCTGCTCGACTTGCTGGCCACGTGGACTTTGAAAATGACCCCACGTGGCCGTGGCTCACGATCCGGATGCATTATCCGGACCATTACGTTGCGATCTTCCAGGCTCATTCGAAAACAAGACGTTGGACGTTGGGCAACTCAGATCTTATTACTAGCTGTGGCTCGCGGGGGGTTTGAGCGCCGAAAAGTTGAGTTGGTCGATCGCGGCAATGGCTTCGCGCCGCCGCTCGCCGACGTACATTTCTTGCAGCTTGGGCAGCATCTACACACGTGTAGTAGTATAGGAGGACGCCCGACGCACGTCGCAGTACCTCCGTGTGGTCTTGTCGAAGCTGCGCCACGAGCTTGGCGGTACAGCTAACGCGCTCGGCGAGGTCGTCCACCGAGTCCATTTGGCTCTATTTGGTCACAGCAGGTGCTCACAGACGGGTTGCTCCAAAGATAACAACATACGACAAGCGTACTGAGCTGCTTGGAGGTATTGCAGTGGGCGTCGTTCAGCAGACCCAACGCATCGCGCAGCCGGTCCATTTCCCGGCGCATGAGCGCTTGGTGGTCGTCAAGCTACATTCAATGCCGGTCGATTCGTCAGTGTACATAGTTGCTTGTCGTGTACATGTTGCTGCATCGCCTTGGTCTCGACGTCCAGCGCGCGGTGTCGAAGGGCCGACGACGTCTCGGCGTCTTGGAGCTGGGCCTTGAGCGACGTCTCTAAAGCACCGCACGTGGCCACCAAGCTCTACTCAACGACATTTTTCGTTTTCACGCATCGTTGGCTCTGAACCTGCGTACGGTCCGAGACCATGTGCAGTCTCTCTTCGAGCTCTTCGACAATGCGATCTAGCATCAAGTATAGCAGACAGCCCTTGTGTTGTGGCGCCTACGGTCGTGTTGCTGTAGCTCCATCCAGTCGCGGTATCTCTCCATATCGAGGCGTCGCCACTACATTCCTAACCGTCGGTCCCCGCTTCGAACACCAAATCGTACCTGCTGCACGTCCGCCACGAGCTGGGTCACGACCGCATCGTGCTGCACTGCAGAGAACATAAATGGGCAGTGGTGAACGCGTCATCGTAGGTACCAAAGCGCGCCGCGAGCTCGTGCATGTGCTCGAAGCCTTTCGTGAGGGTGTCCATGAGCTGCTGGTTACTCCACACGATGCGCTCTTGGAGCTATGGTTTCGCTTGTGCGTCATTACACCCACGAAGTCGACTCGTACAGTGCGCTGGTCGGCGAGGGACCGCACCACGTCACCAAACTGGCGCACGAGGCGCTTGCCAACACCTTGCTCGGCATCGGCCAGTCGCCCAGCATCAAAATGACGATCGTGGAAGCGCGTCTAGCCATAAAAAATCGAGTCGAGTTCTTGATAACTTGAAGTACATGGCCGAGGAAGAACGCGCGGGTGCGCCCGTCGACGCGCAATCGAACGTGGTCGAGAACGAACGCGCGGAACGCCTGACGACGCACGTGCTGCTCGCAACCGTTGACAAAATTGGCGTCGCACCTGAGAGGCGGCATCACACTTGGCGGCGGACGCAAGGATATCGACAGTCGTCGCTGGCAGCGTCGTCGTAAACTCCGTGCTCGTCGCTGCGCAAACGATCGTGACCTGGAGGCTTTTGTCCTCCTGGCCGTAGGTGAAGAAGACGGGATACGTCGCGCCCGCTACATGCACAACATGGTACGGTCGCAAGATGACGGAGGCGTCTTACCAATGCTTAGGATGGCAGGCTCGGTCGGCGCGGCCCAGCTCGTCATTGCCGACGGCTCTACAAGATACACCCGTGACCGTCTTGGCCCCGATTGTACACTATTATATCTGAAGAATCATATAGTGTCATACTAGTATAGTAGAATCGAAACCAGGACCGGGGCAAGCGGTCCCGGCGAGTAGGATCGATTGCCCACCACGCGTGGCTTGTGTGGGGCTTCAACGTAGCTCCCACGTATCCACCATCGGCATTGTGGACAATATGCGGACGCTTTGTAACACTAAATACGTGTGAAATGGGCAAGAAATGGTGAAACCGGTTTCAGCCTCGTCGAGGCCGTTGGGATGGCGGCGATGGACGCGGACTTGCAGCTCAAGATGAGCAAGAAGATCGCGCAGCTGACCAAAGTCATCTTCCTCCTCAACACCAAGAACGAAGACGCAGCGTCCGAGCTCCAGGCCACGGCGGCGAGCCACCGGCGCGAAACCGAGGCCGTCGCGCGGGACGCAGCCGCCAAGATGGCCAGCCTGAAAGAGTCGCTCGAAAAGAAAGAGGCGGCGCTCAAAGGCTCCGAGTCGCTCAAGAAGATCAAGGACCGGCATCGTGCCGAGAAGCAAGAGGCGCTCGCCCAGTTCCAAGCCTTCAAGGACGACGTCGCCAGGGCGTCCAAGGCATCGGAGGACAGCTACAAGCGCGAGCTGCTGGCCATGGCCGACGACGTCAAGAAGGTCCGCGCCGCCTTTCATGAGCGCGTTGTGTCGCTCAAGGCGTCGCTCGACGCTGTCCAGGCCAAGGTGCACCACGGCAGCGTACGTCCTCTGCTTCAAAATCGTTTTCTGAACGGGGGAGTAGAAGGAAGCCGACGCGCTGCGCAAGAAGCACTCGGACGAAGTCGCCGACATGGTGACAGCGTCCAACCAAAAGTACAACGACATGCTTACGGCGCAGCTCAACCAACAAGTACGCGGATGTGTGGACGCCTTAGAAAACCAAGATGGACGACGTTCCACAGGATGAGCTTCGTGCGCAGTGTCAGGAGCAGCTCCGCGCGAAGGACGAGGCGCACCAACAAGCGATAGCGCAGATGCAGGAGAAAACCGAGCTCGAGATGCGCATGGCGGTCAAGCGCCGCGAGCTCGAGTGCAACACGTCGGCGGACACGCTCAAGAACGAGATGGTTTCCAAGGTCCGTGGAGACGCGTCTCGACGAGTACGTCACGCGTGGCTCGGGGGCGTAGATGGAGCGGCTCTTGGCCGAGCTCGAGACGCTGCGCGGCAGTGAATCGCAGCTTCGTTCAGACAAACAGGTAAGGGTTCGAGCCCGATATGGCGAAGAAAATTGGGTTAGGACCTTGCGACCCAACTCTCGGCGCTGAGAGCGTCGTCCAAGCAAGTCGAGATCGAGTTTGCAGCGTTCAAGAAGGCCCAGCAAGGCCAGAGCGACAACACCGAGGTCGTACTGCAGACGCTCAAGACCCAGCTCGACGAGCGGGACAAGCAGATGCGATTGCTTCAAGATGAAGTGCAACGCGCCCGCACCGCGCTCGAGGCGGCCGAGATTGACCGCAAGGCGCTCGCCGCCAACCTCGACGCGGTGGCCAAGGCACGCGATTCCAACCACATCGAGTACGCTTGTACGACAAGGTTGACGACGACCAATGGTTGTAGGCTCTCGGAAAAGGAGGCAACGTGGGCTCAAGAGTTGCGCGCCAAGGACGCCGAGCTTGCACAGCGCCTCGCAACACTCAAGGCGCACAAGTCGGAAGTCAAGAAGCTTCGAGAACTCATCAAGACCAACGATGCGCATGCCATCAAGGCCGAAGACGACGTCAAGAAGCAGTTGCTCTCAGCTCAGAAAAAGCTCACCGAGTTTCAAGGCAAAGAAACTGAGCTCAACGCTCGTGTGCAAGCGCTCAAGATGGAGCTCGCGCAGCTGCATGGTGCGTGGACCTTGCATCATCTGAATGATCGCATGACGGCTACGACTAGTCGCCTCCAAAGAGCGCTTGGACAAGGCCGTCACCGACGCAGATGTGGCCCTGGCAGCAGCTAAGGCGCAATTGGTAGCCGAGAGCGCCGCGGCACTTCGCGCGCTTGAAGCGCGCCTCGCACTCGAGCACCAAAAGCAGATAACTGCGCTTACTCAATCGGCGCAGCACGTGTCCGAGACGCAGAGAAACGACCTCGAGGCCAAAACGCGTGCACTCCAGGCCGAGCTCACCAAGGTGCCTTTAATCTGCTACTTGTACTCGCCCCGGAAATGACACTATGTCCCCGATACTAGAGCCAAAGCGCAGTGCAAGCCGCGCAGGACCAGCTCGCCGCAACAACACATGAGCTCGCGGCGGCTAACAAGGATCTCACGCGCTTCAAAGGCGAAGCCAAGCTGTTCGCCGATCAGCTCAAGCTCGCCGAGACCACGTCCTCGAAAGAGGCCAAAGAATTGAAACAAAAGCTCGGCCAGCTCGTATGTAATCTGTCTGGAATACTATGGGCTAGACAACACGGGCGCTATAGGAAGGTCTGCGGGACCACGACGCCAAGGCGCAGCAAAAGGAGCGAGCCAAGTGCGAGGCGGCACAAGCCGAACTCGTCACCCTTAAAAAAAAGCTCGAGACGCTGACCAAGAACCACGACGAGGCGGCTGCCACCCTCCGTCAAACGCACCAAGCCCAGCTCGATCATCTCCGCGCCAACATGCAAGCATCGATCGCCACAGGTACGCGTTGCCTTGTCAGCTTGTCTCTAGGTAGTGGCGCGGGTAGCTGTCGAGGAAGCACAGCAGACGATGCAGGTCCATGTCGACGAGCAGCGCGGGTTTCTTCTTTCGATGCATGCCACCGACCTCGCCGCTGTCCAGTCTCAAATCGACATGTGGAAGCAAAAGGTCGTCGACCACGAAGCGTCCAACGCCTACGACCGCGCCGAGTTTCACAAGCTTCTGCAGGCCCAAGGTCCATCGATTCGCAGCAGCCTGTCTTCCTAAATTGGCGTCTAGATGAACAGTTTCGAGTGCAGATAGCCGCGCTTGACGCCACCCAGCGCAGCGCCGTCCTGCAATTCGGTGACGACCACGCCGCGGCCATGGCATCGCTACGCGAAGCACACGCAGCGCAGTTGGCTTCAAAGCAGCAAACAGCGGCAGAGGCGCTGGCGGCGCACCAAGCAGCGTCCGCCACGGCCTTGGCGCAAGCCCGCGAAATGTTCGCAAGTGACAAACTGGCGCTGGAGAAGCACCTCGAACGCCGATGTGCCGAATACGACAAGCAGATCCAAGACGAAGCGAGCTTTCACGCGCGGGAAGTTGCCCGTCAAGTGCACGTGGCCAAGCTCGAGAAGGATCGAGAGCGCGATACCCTCGTGCAAACCTTGAACGACCAGCACCAAACGGTCGTTGCGTCCAAAGACGAAGCCTTGGAAGCGAGCCAGCGTCTCGTCGCCAACCAAGCCGATGCGATTCGGAAGCTTCAGGACGAGCTCACGACGCAGCTGGCCGTTCTCGAGGTACCTACTGCGGTTGAACGTGGAGCAACATGGGCGCGTAGCACAAGCAAGACGAGTGGAAGTGCACGCAAAAGCGCCTGGCCGCAGAGAAAACGCAGGAGCTCGATGGTCTCGCGCGGCAGCACAAGACGGAGCTCGAGCACCTTTTGGACGACCATGTCAACGAGACCCGGCAGCTCAACGGTATGCAATCCCAACCCCAAGGAGTCGACACAAATGAGCGTAGCGCAATTTGAGAAAACGCGCGGGCTCCTCCACGAACAGCAGCAAGTTTTGATCGCCAAGGTGCGCGAGTGGGAAGCGGCGTACGCGCGTCGCGATAGCCGCGTCGAGGACGTCAACCGCATTTCCGAGCTCGAGCAAGGTGCGTCGCTCATGGAAGAAACCGATGGCTCATGAAAAGGGTTAGAGGTCGCGACCAAAGATGCACTCGTACAGCAGACGGTCGAGGAGATGGCGTACATCAAGCGGGAGCTCCTCAACCGCGAGGACGTGTACAACAAGACGTTTGGCCGAAGCCCAAACGTGGGTGTGCTCCAAGTGCTCAAGCCCACGACACTGACGGCGACTCCGCCGAGCCTTGGCCCGCCACCAAAGCTCAACCGAAAAACCAAACCCCAAAGCTTCTCGGCGCTAACGTCCGGCCCCAAACCGCTGCCGCCCATTGGCGCGTCCAACCAGCAGCCTAGCTACCGCGACCTCAACCATCTTCAATAATACTATTAGTTGTAAGGGAGTTGAATGAAGTGCGACATATTGTACACTGTAGGTATTTAAAAGAGTCCCCGGACCCAGTGGAATCGAAGTCCCGCCAAAAACAATCAACCTTTTCATAAAAATAGCTGGCTTCTGACTTGCGAAATGCTGCGTAACTGCTCCTGTAGCTCAGCTGGTTAGAGCGGTGGTCTTATGAGCCGCAGGTCGAGGGTTCGAACCCCCCCTGGAGCACTTTATTGCACTTTTTGTATTTCTACGAACGTATGAAAAGGTGACATTGGAACACATGACAATTCTGTGCATTATTACACACTATCTAATCGCATCCATCTGTTTAATTAGCAGCTGGTACATTGATATGCGACACGACCAGACGCCATTTGTGACGTCACAACAAGTGGCCCAGCGCCGGAGCTGCAGGAGAGTCTTCGTTTTCCTCGTTGTCGTATTTTGTACCAACTACTCTTACGCCATACCTCGTAGTGTTGTAGAGCCCCAACTTCGAACGCCGATAACTTGCTCATTTTTTCGATTTATTGCAATCCGATCTTATACATCGCTTCCCCTTGGACTGAACAGTCGATCTATAACGTCCTTTTCCTAAAACATTATGTTTTCACAGCTGGGATACAAAAGTTTTGGACCCCATTTAGCTGGTAGGGTACAGGTGGCGTGCACTGTACTAGTAGAACATTTTAGAGGCAGATGCTTACACGAATTAAATAGGGGAAACTGAGCTCAGACTTGGACAACGACGCTCATGTCGGGCCAAAAATCCACGTTCGAGGCAATGTCGGCAGAGCTCACTGGCACCTGGAGCTCCACACACGCAGGCTCCAGCGGCCAAATCTGTGCCGTCGCGACCGGCGCGCGCACCATGACTTGATCCATCAGCGCTACGTCCGAGGCGACGCTGTTGAAGCAGTCGGACTCCGGCACGGGCATCCAGTCGATCCAGTGCTGTTCAACGTCTTCGGCCTCGGTCGGCGGCGTTAATTGAACCATGCTCGTAAAGTCGCAGTCGTCAAAGGTGAGAAGGTCCATAGGCAGCTCGGTCGTCGCCTGCTCGTGGACGGCGCGGGTGGGCGTGCCGTCTTCCTTGCCCATGCGTACCCAGCGGCTCTGGCATTGGCGAGAGCTAGTGACAAGAGGCGTAAGTCATCGGTTCAAGGCCGCGGGGTGCAGCGTACCAGCGGGTCTTGACAATCTTTGCGACCTTGAGCCACTTGGTAGTGATTTGCATGGCGCCACGGAGCCGGTCGTCTTCGTCTGCCGACCACGCGCCCTTGTTCTTGGCCGGCACGCTGAACTCGGAGAGCCACTTTTGGCGGCAGTCTTCGGGGCTGTGGCCGGGAAAAGCAGCCGCTGCCGCCTTCCACGTCGTGAGGCTCGGTTGGACGGTCTGGAGAAGGGCAAGCTATTTAAATACACTTGATAAGTCGACAGGCGGGGAAAGATCAAGCGCCAACCTCGCTCGGCGTCCACGTGTTCTTGTTCATTGCCAATGTTGTTGATAAGTGAAAATTGAAATGTGAGCATTTCGGTCGAGTGATCGCCATACCGGATACACTTGGCGTTATCCGGTATACGAGACCGTATCCGGCAAGAAACCAGCTGCGACCCTCGATTTGCACCCAAGCGACAGCTGCCCATCGTGGGTAAGTGTCGTTATTTCAATGTTTCAACTTGATAAGGATGTGGCACCGGGCTTCCGAGAAAGGCCGTTTGAGCTTGTGGAGAAGACTTTCAAAGCCCACAAAGTACCTGAGAGGTAGTATTTGAGAGCCAAGAAGCTGCACGGTACGACTTAGTATGCTCTAGTGGGATAAGGTTTTAAAATCTCCCAAACCACCTTGTGTAGTGCTGACGTGCGACATGAAGATAGGTACCTATTGCCAACTTGATACTACAAGGGACAAGGATTGCTCAAGCCATATGCTTGGAAGGAGCGAATTCATTGGCCGCAACCCAGGAGCTCCGTTGTTGAAGTATCAACTCGCTTCCTGAACTGACCAATGGCATGCCTTCACTAGTGGTTCTATATCAAGCAAGCGCACGCCATGCTTTGCGGCCTCTGCGACACACAACTTGATTAACTGCAGCTGGTTGTTACCGGATAACGGAATATATCCGGCGTATTCTTGGCGCGCAACGCATCTTCAAATTATCAGCGTCGACAATTAGGACCCCTACTACCAACAGCATGCAAACCTGTAGCCTTCGAGCGACGTCCGGAGCTTGCACCTAGCATGTAGCACTTTGCCGTCGCCTCTGTAGACTGCCGATCTCAAGGCGCTTGATCCTACCAACTTGATGTGGTAGCAAATCGCACAGACCAACATTTCGCGCCATAGCGCGCAGAGATGCCGCCAACGTTGGTACTGCTTGTCCCTCCAAGAAAAGGGCGCATTGGGAGTTTGGAAGAAGCCGTATTCTCGCTACCATGACCACCAAGTCGCGCGATTGGCCTCGGGTGCAAAGCTGTGCTCACGAAGCGTCCATGTCTTGTCGCGGTCGACAGCCACGACAGCGCTATCTGCTAGCGATGGATCAGACTCAAGACGGCCGGCTCGTTCTTTGTGAAGCAGATTTCAACCGTACCCGTGTCGTGTTCCTGGTATCGAAAGCCGAATTTGTTGTCATTCCTTAGTTTAGTCAGCACGCGACGGCAAGAAGCTCTTGCAAGAGACCACGAAGTAGACTATCGTCCCTCTCGCATTCGTTATCGACCGAATAGTCCGTAGCACTGTCGTCGCAACAGGTCTCGGCACCTTCCTCGTATCGTCCGCGCCGCAGCCATCCCAAACGAGTCAGCCTTCATTCCTCATGCACGCAGCCATACTTGACAAAGACTCGAGCTTGCAAATGTGCTTGCGACCAAACCAATTCTGATAGCACTGGACGACTTGTCAAGTCGACTAGCATCTAAAAATATACTAGTACTCGACTAGTTTAGGACGTGTGACCGATGCAATCACCAGCGCGGGTCCGCCGCATCAAGATCAAGGCCCCGGACGACCTCGAGGCCAAGCTGCGCGAAGCCGGGGACCCGCCGCGCGTTCCTCTCGAATCGATGACGTGGCGCCTTTTGGCCCCGCCACCGCAGCGCTACAACTACCGCCCGCATCTGCGCCAAGGCAACTACGAAAACTAAATGGCGTGCTCACCATCATCTTGGCCTTGCGTAGGCGGATCGGGCGGCGTTCTCGGCGACGCGCTCTACCTCTTTGGCGGATTCGAAGACAACGGCCAGCGCTCCAACAGCCTCGTCGAGTATAATTTCACGACGCATCTCTGGCGCACGGTCGAGTGCAGCGGCAACGTGCCGTCGCCTCGCTGCGGCCACGCGTGTGTGCTGCATGCGGCAGCAAGGGAGCTCTGGCTCTTTGGCGGCCAAGGCCCTGAGATTGGCCTCAACACCAAAAACCTCTACGACGACCTCTCGATCTTGGACCTCGACACGTTCGTATGGCGTCGCGCCGTCGTCTCATGTGCTGGCGCCGACGGGCATGTCAACTTTGTACCGATTGCTCGCCGCGGCCACAGCTTCGTCTTGCACGACAACGTACGAGGACAATATTTCCATCATAGGTGTTTGTACAACAAAAGATATTATGTAGATGCTCTACATTTACGGCGGGTCGGGCCTCGACCGGATGCTGAGCAAGGACGCGTACTTTGACGACCTCCAACGCCTCGACCTCGCCACGCTGTGCTGGTACGAGCCGGCGATGACGGGCAGCTCGCCGGGTCCGCGCTCGCACCACAGCGCGATCATGCTGCATGGCACCAGTTACATGCTTGTGTTTGGGGGTCAAACAGCCAAGACAACCACGACGCTGCCAAGCCCCGAGCGCCCGCGAAGCGACGCAAGCGAGGACCTCCCGCCCGACACGGGCTTGGCCAACAACCTGGTGTACGCGCTCGACGTGCGCACGAGTCATTGGCAAGTCGTTTCGCCGTTGGACGGGACACCACCCAGTGCGCGGTATGGCCACGTGATGCAGCAGCACCCGGTCAACCCGCTCTGCCTCTTTCTCTTTGGCGGGAAAACACACCGCGGCTTTGACGACGGCGCGATCCACTGCCTCGATCTCGGTGCGGTCGTTGAGTAGAGAACGTCTAACGACGGATGAGCGTAGAGCTCCAGCGCTGGTCGACGCTGACACATGTGGCGCCGATCCCGCCGCGGATACGGCACGTCTTTAGCATCGTTGAGAATCAAGTAGGCGTCTTCTTGACCCCAAAGCTGAGCAAGAATGGTGTAGATGATGATCTTTGGCGGCTGCGGCGACAAGGGTCTCTGCATCGGCGACGTCTTTACGGTCGAGATGCCAGTGTTGTACACGCCCAAATCGCTGCGGCTCTTTTTCGAGCCCGAGGACGTCGACGACGACGCGTCGATCGTAGCGCCGCCGTCGCCGCGCCCGCACACGATCGCTGGCTTCATGGGCTTCAAAAGCTTCCAGTTCACGCCCGCGCGACCCGAGCTCCCGCGAAGCATGATTCGCGTGAGCCCCATCAAGGTGGCCAAGCCGCCTGCTACCGCCAAGCCGTGGACGTCCGTGGGGCTGTGACACCCACGGTCCATTGCATAATAACGTAGGTTTCTTGTTTGCAGAATGCAGTGAAAGGACGACGAGACGGAGGCAATGTTCCTGGCCTGCTCGTGCTGCTGTTGGTACGGACGCCCAGGTCGTAGTTAGTCACTACGCTACTAAGTCGAGCCTGCTATTCGCAGCAGCCGATGGCGATACTTCTTGGAAAGTGGGTGGCTTTTAGAAAAGCCAGGTGAGATGGAAGCGAAAGCTTCCGGGTGATGCAGGTGCACGAATTTACGCCTTCGTGGACTTGGCCTCCTTGGTCGGGAGCGACGTCTTCTTGGGGAGGAGGATGTTGTGGATGTTGGGGAGCACACCGCCCGACGCGATCGTCACGTCGCCGAGGAGCTTGTTGAGCTCCTCATCGTTGCGGACCGCGAGCTGGATGTGGCGCGGGATGATACGCGACTTCTTGTTGTCGCGGGCGGCGTTGCCGGCAAGCTCGAGGATTTCGGCGCAGAGGTACTCGAGGACAGCGGCGAGGTAGACCGGGGCACCACCGCCGATGCGCTGGGCGAAGCGGCCCTTCTTGAGGAAGCGAGCGACACGACCGACCGGGAACTGGAGGCCGGCCTTCGACGAGCGCGACGAGGCCTTGCCCTTGGCACCGCGGCCACCCGTAGCTTTACCCTTGCCAGACATCTTGTGCTTGTGTTGTAGAGATCAAAATTGAAAATGACTGCTCGACGCGCGCCAGAATTGACGCCGACCAAAACGCACCAATCACAGGCCAATGACAAAACATTCCGCCAATCGACGGCTTGTCCCGCCAAATATGGCCAATCATGTATATGGGTCCACTCATGAGCCAATCATGTGCGTCTAAGTCGCGCCTTGGCGGTCCACCTGGCGCGAATTTCGTTCGTGGCTGATTTGAGCTCATTTTTGAATTTCATTCGAACCAGCAAGATGGCCAAGACCCCGAGCAAGAAGTCCGCCAAGGCCCCGAAGAAGACGGGCGAGAAGGGCAAGGCCAAGAAGGGCAAGCGCGTGGAATCGTACTCGACGTACATTTACAAGGTCCTCAAGCAGGTCCACCCGGAGACCGGTATCTCCAAGCGTGGCATGTCGATCATGAACTCGTTCATCAACGATATCTTCGAGCGCATCGCCTCGGAGGCCGGCAAGCTCTCGCGCTACAACAAGAAGTCGACCTTGTCGTCGCGTGAGATCCAGACCGCTGTGCGCCTTATGCTCCCCGGTGAGCTTGCCAAGCACGCCGTCTCGGAAGGCACGAAGGCCGTGACCAAGTTCACGTCGTCGGCTTAAATCTGCGTCGCACTTCCGCTTTGCTACAAAGCAACTACATCTGGTGTTTCTAAACACCACCCATGACACCAGAAATACGTCCCATCGATAGCATAGCAGGATAGTGCGACCAAGTTCAAGATCTGGGACCGCGATGGCGGATGTCTGCAGTGTCTACATGCTTGGACTCTGGAGGCACATATCCTCAGCTCGCAGCCTTGGTTTCGCGCTTGTAACGTGCGGCCCAGTCAACGCATCTCTCAGCACCAATCTACCTTCAGTCGACAGTAAAGGGTGCACTGTCGAGTAGAACCACAGTACACTATCGTCCGTGTCATCCTGCTCATATAGTCCGTCTGGGGTATCCCACCCATGCACGGCGCAGCGCCTGAAGCGACTAAGAAGACACTTCTTATTGCATCAGTTTTCTGCGTGGAAGAGAAGAATGCTGCACACGTCGTCGATGCTGGCTTCGCCGGCAGCTTACACCATCAGTCTCTCGCGCGCCGTCCTGTTGGTATCGGTGGCCGACTTGCGCGACTGCTGGATCGTGCTCAATGACCAGCGCACCAGAGGCCAGCGACGCCCCTGGTCCGTCAAGTGCAATGTGAAGTTGACGTGAAGTTCACATTGCACTTGACGAACAAGGGACGTCCAGAAACTCGAGAACGCGAGATTGCGGCCAACGAGCTGCTGAGTGAGACCCAACCGCACGTCGACGATCGGGCCCTCGCTGCAAATGAAAAGATGGACCCTTCTACATGATTACTAGCACGGATTATCAACTAGATGGCTTAGGGCCACGCTTTCGCGAGCTTGTAGGGCACGACGAGATGCTTGACAAAGTTGCGCGCTTCGCAGAGGCGAATGTTCTCGTCCAGAACGTCGTCGTCAATGCCGAGACGCCACGCAATGTCGTAGCGCGACGGGTTCGCATGAAGCGTCTCGAGGTCGTCCACAAAGCTACCATTCCCGTCAAGCCATGCTCTGTACAGTGTAGCCACAGAAACGTACCGACACGCATCGTCAACGCTCGCAAAGTTGCCGTACTTGGTGAGTTTCTCGCGGCGGCAGTAGATGAGCCGCGCCATCTCGCGCAGGTCGTACTCGGGATGGTACTGGACCGCCCAAAAGTCACCCTAACGCAACTGTTGTCAGATCAAGGCCATCCTCACGACGCGTACGTTCAAGTGGCGGACGGCCACCGACTGCGTCGACGTGAAAGCATTCGCGCTCAAGGTCAAGCCGCCCGGAAGCACGTGCGTGATCTCGTCGTAGTGGCTCGTGAACGCATCAAAGACCGTCGACTTGCCCTCGTACATGGGGTGGCTCCGGCCTTCCGGCGTCAGTTGGATCTAGTGATGCAGCGCGTTCGCGACGCCTTTGATATGCACATCGCACCTTGCGGGAGATGCCCATTTCGCGGCCGTTCGGGTTCTTGGCGACCTTGCCGCCCGCCGCAAAGACCGCGATCTGCGCGGCCCAGCAACTCCCAAACTAGACGCCGCTGCGTGAGCCAATGCATCGTGTTGTGTCGCATCTACCTGCGGCACGCCTACGGGACCTATGAGCCGTCTGTAGAAGCACTTACGCACGACGTACCATAGGCGTAGATCTGCTTGGCAAGGTCGATTTGCCGCACCGTGCGCTCGTCGTCCGTTTCATAGACCGTCAAGCTACCGAGGGAGAGGTGTGTGGGACGTCATGGCATTGGTCTCTACCTGCAGCCTGTCCAGACGACGCCATCGTACTTGCTCAGGTCGGGTGCCTGGAACGGGCCGTCCGCCGGGTGCAGGACATCGGTGGTCACAGCCATCGGCGACACCGACTTGAGGACATTCGCATACAGCTCGGACGCGATCGTAGCGCCGCCCCGCTGCAGCTCGGCGCGGCCTTCGGGCGAGTAGCCCTCGACGATGAGGAAGCGGAGACTGCGGGCGCTCGTCGAGAGGGCGCGGGCCCGCGGGAGGCTCGCTTGGACGCGCTGCAGAAACATTGCAGTTTCAGGCAACAAAAGGCAAAGTGGATGCGAGTAAGATCTTATGGCGTGTACAATACAAAATTCTATTCGTTCGATGTTCTTTTAAAAATATATGTATGTTTATATGTAGCAACTCTATTTTTATTCCAACGGTGCATATTATGACAGATTCTCGCCAGGTGGGGCTGCAAAGGGCCACGTCATGGCCGACGCGGACCATTGCGAAGAAACATAATTTTAATTCTGATCATTTAAACATGCTTTTATTTAAAGATAAGCAAGATTCTATGAAAAATGCAGATCAAATCATTATATTCGGCATGCATTTAATGCGGAAAGATACCACTTGAAGCTGCTCATTTTGCATTTGGCATGGCCGGGCGTGTGGCGCAGAAGGTGGCGATCGTGACCGGCGCCGGCGGTGGCATTGGCCGCAAGAGCGCGCTCCTCTTTGCAAAGGAAGGCGCGAGAGGCGTCGTGTGCGCAGACCTCAACCTCGAGGCCGCGCAGAAAACCGCCGACTTGATTGCCAAGCTCGTGGGCAAGCCCAATGTCGCGACCGCGATCCGGGTCGACGTCTCCAAGAGCGACGAGTGCAAGGCCATGGTGGACGCTGCCGAGACGACGTATGGCCACCTCCACGTGCTCTTCAACAACGCCGGCATCATGCACGGTGACGACGACGACGCGATCGCGACCTCGGAAAAGGTCTGGGACCTCACGTACGTGCTTGCCGCTCCATGTGCGATCGCTCACATGCACATGACATAGCATGGACATCAACGTCAAGGGCGTCTTCTTCGGCTGCAAGCACGCGATTCCCGCACTTCGCCGGGCGGGCGGCGGCTCCATCATCAACACGGCTTCGTTTGTCGGGTGCATTGGTGCTGCGACACCGCAGCTGGCCTACACGGCGAGCAAGGGCGCGGTGATTGCCATGAGCCGCGAGCTCGCCGTCATCCACGCCCGCGAGAACATTCGCGTCAACGCGCTGTGCCCGGGCCCGCTCAACACGCCGCTGCTGCAAAAGTTCCTCGACTCGGAGGCCAAGAAGCAGCGCCGCCTCGTGCACGTACCGATGGGACGCTTTGGCGAGGCCGCTGAGATGGCCAAGGCCGCGCTCTTCCTCGCCAGCGACGATGCGTCCTACATCACGGGCACCAAGTTTATGGTCGACGGCGGCATCACAGCCGCCTACGTGACGAGCGAGACCGAAGTCGACCCGTTCGGCGGCCCCAGCGAGATCTAGTCAACTAGCATTCTAAGTCCGAGCATAGCTCAGTTAGTAAAGCGTTTGACTGTAGTTGGGTATTCAAACTAGCATTCTAGTATACTAGTAAGACTAGTACTTACTAGTACATGACTTGACTCTCAGGCGTGCGAGGTGTCGACGGTGGGTTTCGGGGAGCCCCTGGTCGGATCATGGTCGAAGAACCCGAGTCCAAGCAGGTGCCACTGCTTCTTCTTCTGCCAGCTGACGAACTTGAAGTCGCCTGCCCATCGCGTTCGTTCTCAGAGGCGAAGATCGCGATGGCCACTTCAAGTGGCCGCTGATTGGCGCATCAGGTATCTTGGCAATAACCTTGGTTTTTGTATACTATACTTGAAGAAAATACTACAGCTTCGGCAAGATTCAACTGAGCTGGTGACTTTCTGACGACGACGCATGTGGCCAGCGGTGCAGGTAGACGAGCTGGAGGTGCATGGCCTCATCCGTGCATGGGACCGTAGAAGACAGTGCTTCGGGAGACGACCAAGCTGGCGCGCGGCCCCATCGCGACGTTCGCCTCGGCCACCACGTAGGCAGTGAGGCGATCATGAGCGTGGAAGCGAGTGGAGGATGCTGTAGGTTTGCGGTCGAGAACCCGTACACGCTCGAGCCCGTGGCGCATGTGACGGAAGCATCTTCGTCCAGCGTCCTCGACACGATCGATCGCGTCAAGAAAGCGCAGCGCTACTGGGCGTCGACGACCCTCGCGCAGCGCCAAGCGATCGCGACCAAGTGGGTCGACGTCCTCAATGACCAAGTCGACGAGATTGCGACCGAGATCACACTTCAAATGGGCAAGCCGCTGGCGCAGGTACGTCCTCCATATACTGCTTATATGTTAAGTGTTCACAAGCGCCCGTCTAGGCCAAAGGCGAAGTCCGGGGCACGATTCAGCGGGCCAAGTCCGTCCTCACCACCCCTTTCCATCCCCTCATGCGTATCTAGGGTCATGATTGAACTCGCGGAGAAGGCGCTGGCGCCGACGACGTTTCCGCAGGACGACGCTACCACGCTCTTTCGCTGCATCACCAAGGAGCCTGTCGGCGTCGTCTTTGTCATTGCGCCATGGAACTACCCGATGATGACGGTCGTCAACTCGGTGCTGCCCGCGCTCCTCGCCGGCAACGGCGTGCTCCTCAAGCACTCGCCGCAGACGCCGCTCTGCGGCAGCCGCTTCCAAGCCACCTTGGAGGCCGCGGGGTTCCCCAGCGACCTCCTCCGCGCCGAGCAAATGGCCCACAGCACGGCCGCGACGGCCATTGCGCACCCCGATGTCCAGTTTGTCTCGTTCACAGGCTCGGTGCGCGGGTACGTCGTCCATTGACACTCTATTCTGTGGTCACAAGGCGACACTGTGCTAGGGGCCGCGAGGTCTTTCGAACGATCGCGGACAAGCACCGGTTCCTTGGTTCGACGCTCGAGCTCGGCGGCAAGGACGCCTTGTACATTGCCGCAGACGCCGACGTGGCCGCCGCCGCGGCCGGCGCGATCGATGGCGCGTGCTACAACGCCGGCCAGTCGTGCTGCGCCGTCGAGCGCGTCTACGTGCATACATCCCTCTACGACGAGTTCCTCGCTCTCGCCACGAGCCACTTTGATGCGTACGAGGTACTCGCTCTGTCGCCAACGACGCCCGAACCTCGCTTCTTAGATGGGCGATCCGCTGCACAAGACGACGACGCTCGGGCCCATGGCGCTCAAGGGATCGTCGACTGCTACGTTGGCGCAGCACGTAGACAACTCTGATGGCGTCTTGGATGGCTCACGTACCGAGTGCAGGTGGCCGATGCAGTTGCAAAGGGTGGGCGGGTGCTCACCAAGACGGCTGCACCTCGTGAAGTGCAGGACGCTTCGGGGCACGGTCGCTTCTTCCCGCCGACGCTCGTGGCCGACTGCACGCATGCCATGCGCCTCATGGTCGACGAGTCGTTTGGGCCGATCTTGGGTACGTCTGCTGCGAAGGCTCTCGTGGCGAAGAAGACGATGTAGGCGTCATGCGTGTTGCCTCGGACGACGAAGCCATCCGGTGCATGAACGACAGTGCGTATGGCCTCACGGGCGGGGTCTTTACGACCAGCCACGTACATCCATGCAAAGATGACGCTAGAGCTGAGGAGGAGGACGGTAGGAGCGCGCGATGGCCATCGGTCGCCAGCTCGACGTCGGCACTGTCTACATGGTATTGGCCTTGTCTCTCTGAGGCAGAACCATGAGCCTGATGCGGTAGAACCGGTGCGATGCGGTCGACCCGCACCTGCCGTGGACCGGCGTCAAGGATACGGGCAAGGGCCACAGCCTCTCGGAGCACGGCTTCGAGGCTGTCACCCGCTTGAAATCAGTACGTAGTCGGTATTGCACACGTCAACGTCAAAGGTGTCTCTATTAGTGGAACATGAAGCTTGCGTGAGCGCAGTCGACGCTGTAGTACAATCGCCAGTAGTACAGTCGCCAATTTAGTCGGCTTTGGCGTGGGCGACGACTGGCGACTTGGGCTCCAACATGCGCTGGTATTGCTGCACAAAGATGAGGAGGCCCGCAAGCAGCGAGCTTTTGTTTTGGTCGAGCCCGAGGAGACTTAGAAGCACGTCTTGGAGCATGTCGGCGCCTTGGATGGCCGAGAGCGCGAGCACATACGTGCGGATGTCGGCGTCGTCGGCGACGGCCTTGGCGAAGATGAGCGTGAGGATGAGCGGAACGAGCACGCGTGCGAGGAGAGGCAGCGCGTACTGCGTGTACACATTGCGGTTGACGGCCACGGACGCGATGACGACGATCGCGACCTTGGGCAGCGCTGCGCCGAGGAGGCCGAGAAGCAGCCCAAAGCCCAGGCTCGGCACCGACCAGAGGCTCGTTGGACCGAGCAGCACCTCGGGACTCATGGCGATGCCAATCAAGCTCATCTGGAGAAAGACGTAGGCGCGGGGCGCGCGATGGCCGGCGAGGCCAAAGCCGGCGGCCAGCAGCCCCACGACGGTAAGCACGGCGAGGCGCAGACCAGCCTCCGCGGGCGATGGCGGCGCCGCCGCGAGCGCCGAGAAGGCCTGCTCCATGGCCTCGAGCGTGTCGAAGAAGCTGTTGAGGGCCACGAAGCCGCGCTCGTCGATGCTGAGCATGCTGCTTGTCCGCTGACTACTGGGATATAACGGCAGCTGGCCGCAACTTCAACAAATTCCCGTGTTGCGTTTCAATTTTACCGCAATTCGTTCGACTAAGGAGCGACTAAAGCACGACTGGGGGCGGGCTGTTGGCGTCGTGCGATCGAGGCTGCGCTACTGCAAGCAAGCAAGAGCATGACCTGCAATGATCGCCTCGAGTCGCCGTCGAATCTTGCGCGCGAGGACCAACTGGAGTCGTTCGTAGCATTTCGACTGGCTCGTGTCTGTGTAGTCGATGGCGTTGACTAAGAAACACTATTTGCGTGTTGTACAGTATTTTGAAAATTCGAACTTCCCACGTGTCATTGTTTAATCAACTATAGCTGCTATACTTGATACTTGTATGTGGAATTGGATGTTGGAATAAAAAGGGCGTGGGACCCATCGACCAATCGGCGATTCTGCGGCTTTAAGCGAACGAGTGGAAGATGGCCGGCCGGGGACGTGAACTGGTCCTGCCCGCGTGGATGCAGCAGCAGCAAGAGAACGGAGGCGGGCCGCCGCCCTCCATCCTGCCGCCGCCGGGCCAACGCGACCAATATGCGGATGCGCAGGAGCCGCGCCGCGACCAGGGCTCGCGCGACGCGTACCCTCGCAGCGACCGCCACGAGCGCAGTGACCGTGATCGCTCGTCGCGCAGCGACCGCTACGACCGTGACCGAAGTGGCCGCGACTCGCGTGGTGGCCGCCACAGCGATCGCGACACTCGCGATCGCCATGACGACCGAAGGCGGCGCGATCGGTCGCGCTCGAAGGACCGGTCGTCGCGCCGGGACGACCCGCGCGACCGCCGAGGCAGCAACAAGCGCGATCAAGGCGAAGTGAAGAAATTCGAAGGCCTCGGTATTTATTCCTTGAGCGGCTCGGGGCGCGTGCGCACTCGACGGTACGCCATGCCATTGCGTCCGACCACCTTCTTATCATGCATGTCGGATCAGATTCGACGTTTTGCCGCCGGGTGTCACACAAGAGAATGCGGCCGCCTACGCGGCCCAAGCCATCTTGCAGGCCAACTTGGCGGCCCTCTCTGGCGTCGTTGGCCCCGCGTCGTTTGGCCCGCCCACGTCCAACGTACGTTTGAACTCTTGTATCGTATGCCTGGACTTGAGGCTCATGGGTCGCGTAGGCCTACATGCACCATCAAGTACGCGTGCTTTCTCTCTCTCTTCTATCAATGGTCGAGACGCTTATGCGCTACGTCACAGGCGTTTGCCGGCAACCAGCACTCGCGCCACGCCCGCCGCTTGTACGTTGGCGGCTTTGGCGACGTGCCCGAGCAGGAGATTGAGCGCTTCTTCAACGAAGTCATCGACAAGGCCTTGGGCGAGCGCCAAGAGCACGGCAGCGTCGTCTCGGTACGTCCGTGCAGCTGCAACACGTCTCCATACACTATGTAGGTGTACATCAACCGCGAGCGCCACTTTGCGTTCGTCGAGCTCAAGTCGATCGAGCTCACGACCGCGTGCATGGAGCTCGACGGCGTCTCGTACCATGGGCAGCCGCTCAAGATCCGCCGCCCGAACGACTACAACCCGTCGGCGGTCAAAGACGTCGGTCCGATCCCCAAGCTCAACGTCAACGCGCTTGGCATCGTCTCGACGTCGGTCTCGGACGGCCCCGGCAAGATCTTCATCGGCGGCCTCCCGTACCACCTCAACGAAGAGCAGGTCAAGGAGCTCCTCCAGGCCTTTGGTGCGCTCAAGTCGTTCCACCTCGTCAAGGAGCTCAACACCAACCTCTCCAAGGTACCAGTCGTCCTCCTCATGAGCCACTGTACGAGGCGAGTGCTAGGGCTATGGCTTTTGCGAGTACATGGACCCGGAAGTCACGCAAGTCGCGTGCGCGGGCCTCAACGACATGCAGATTGGCGATAAGACGCTCACGGTGCGCACGGCGCTGACGGCCGGCGGCCTCTACCCGCCGGACCACCCGCACGCGCCGCCGCAGCAGCTCGGCAACCCGGGCGTGACGACGACCACCATGATGCAAGCCGCGACGTCGTCCAACCCGCTATTGCTGAACGTGGACCCGATCTTGCAGCAGCTGCAAAAGCACCAGGCGATGCCGCTGCAGATCGTGCCGAGTGTGCCCTTGGGCGCGCCCTCGCGCATCATTGTGCTCCTCAACATGGTGACGCCCGAGGACCTGACCGACAACGACGAGTACCAGGACATTTGCGACGACATTCGCGCCGAGTGCGAAAAGTCGGGGCCGATCCGGTCCATGGTCGTGCCGCGTCCGGGCGAGACGCAGTACCAACTCGCCTCGGTGGGCAAGGTATGTCTCTCTACTTGATAGATTGAAACGATGGCACTCAGATCTGATGGTTTAGATCTTTGTCGAGTTTGGCGAAGTCGTCCACGCGCAGCATGCGTCCAACGAGCTCCACGGGCGCGGGTTTGCCAACCGAACGGTGGCCGTCGAGTTTATGTCGGAGACCAAGTTTGCCCGCCGTGAGTTCTAAGCTTGCTGCCACATCTCGTGCCTCGACGCTAGGAGATTGAATACACTCGCATTTGCCTTTTCGCTTTGGTCGTTGAGCTGAGCTGCCTGCAGAGGGTCGCACCATGCACTGGGCATGCAAGCGCTGTGCGGCTCAAACCTCGGACAACCACAAGATTCGTGCCGGATCTTTTCGGGGTTGTGAGCGCTGCGGCCTTGGCGTGTCTGGCAACCACACGACAGTGGCAACTCATCAGTCGAATGATGGTCTGTTCACAAACGACCATCATTCTGAAATGCCCCAAGCAGTGATGGCTGCAAGTGCAGTACCAAGGCGACGGTCTACACGGGCGCACGCTGGTACTAGGTAGCAGTATATCTCCTCTACGAGTGTGCACTGGGCGAAAGGCGTTGAATCGGCTGACCAGGAAAATTTGAGTCGGGTGCGATCGCAGACACGTACTAGTCCCCGGGAACGTCCATGCGACGTATGTGCGTTGCTTTTGCGGGAGGTGGGCGAGTAATGGCTTGTTGGTTCAAAGCCTTGCACCTTGCGCGGGGCATGTCTGCCATGGTCGCAGTTTTAAACCGAGGGTCCTTGGAGGGTCATAGAAGGCATCACTCGGTGGAAGAGTCTCTAGATCCGCGTACAATAGGTCGATTTATCGTTAGTATACACACCAGTACGGCTGCTTGGAGCTAATGTGTCAGCGCAACAACCCCAACAACTTCGCTGGTTGTACATTCGGGGCGACACCTTCTCGTACAATACACAATGTACGGGTACATCGCATAGACATATCGCGTAGAATCGGGCAATGTACCCTAATGTACGTACACTCGTACATTGGGATATCCCAGGAGTGTCCGTCCAAGCCGGATTTACAAACTTGCAGCACACAACCCTTGGACAAGTGATCCACGAGGTTTGCGAGAATGGTTTTTTGTATGTCCATGGCTCAGAGTTACTGCCCTTGAGTGTTGGTTGGCTCGGTGCGAGCATGGGACACATCGCCTCGCTGTTGTCATTGCCAAGTCGACCAGCAACACCTCCTTCATTTTCAAAATGGCAACGTCCGCACCAACACATTGCCTCTTTGACGGCTGCTCCAACCCGACGCTGCCGGCGCGTGACAAGTGTCACTTTCACCGGTACCGCACCAAGTGCAGCGTTGCCGACTGCTTCAACCAGGTCTACGCGCGGCGGCTCTGCGTGAGCCACGGCGGCAAGAAGCTCTGCATGCACCCGCAGTGCACAACGCCCGCTCGCATCGGCGACTACTGTACCAAACACTCGACGCGCGGACCAGCCATGTGCCAATTCAGCGGCGGCTGCACGCACCCCGTCAGTGCCAGAGGCTTTTGCACGCTGCACGGCGGCGGCACGCCATGCGCCGTCGACTGCTGCTTGATGCCGGCGCGGGTCGGGCAGTTTTGCTGGAGCCACCGCAACCGAATCATGCCAAGTGCGGCAACAACGACGACGACGACGCCCGACAACTGCGACGCGCTCGCACTCATGCTCGATGAGTGGGCCTCGACCGACGGACCTCACTTGGAGCTCCAGGACATTGACTTGGACGGCATCTTGGACGACATTATCGCGTTTAGCAACGCGTCGCACACCGGACACGATTGAGAC